CCTGTGAACTTTCCCCATCTAAGATCAGGTCAATGTAGATTGCCCAAGATGATTACAAAGTTTACTTATGTGGCTCGAAGGAGATCAAATCAGTACTGAACTCTGAACCACTGGAGTGCTGTTTGCCTAAGTACAGAGGAACTGGAATCTCTGCATCTTTTAGTAATGGAAGGGAGCAACAAGATCAGTGGCTTATTGGTTTTCAATCCTAGGCAATCACTAGAGCTTTCTACATTACAGATTCCTCGTCCCCAAGTATAGATATTTAGTCGAATAATCTGACATAAGGCCCAGACATGTGTTGTTAAAAAGGTCTCAAAGTAAAGCTGATGATCACAAGAATTGGAAATGCCCCCCATCTTATAGAACCCCTCCAAGCACTGCTGAATTTCTTAGGCTGAGTTTCACTAAGCATTTGTAATGACGTTAACAGATCAAAATGTGTGGAACGCCTGGGTGGCTCAGGGGCTGAGCGTCTGCCTTCGGCTCAGGACGTGATCCTGGAGTTACGGGGTCAAGTCCCACATCCAGCTCCTACATGGAGCCTGCTTCTCCTCCCTCTGCCTGTGTCTCTGCTTCTCTGTCTCTCATGAATAAATAAATAAAATCTTAAAAAAAAAAAAAAAAAGACCAGAATGTGAACACAGATGCACCATCTCCAGGTAACCACATGAATTCATTAGCTGTTGTTAGCCTAAGAAACCATTCCAAAACTCAGTAGCTTGAAACAAGAGGCACTCAAGGATTGCTCCTGAGTCTCTGGATCAGCTCATGTGATCTCTGCTGGGCCCACTCTTGTGTCAGGTCAGCTGGCTGGTCTAGGATATCCTCAATCACATATCTGGTATAAGATCATCATCAGCTGGGGAGACAAGGGTCTCTGGGCCACAGCAACTGAGTCTAGGAGTTAGGAGTGTCCACAGGGTAACCCGGCTAGATTCTAGGTAAGCAAGCAGAAATGTATGAGGCCGCTTAAGACCTACACTGGGGACTGACTGGTACCTAAGGACACCTTCACTTCTGCATAATCTACTGGCCAGAGTAAGTTATAAGTCCTAGCCCAGATTCAGGGGCAGGGTAAACAGACTCTACCTCTTGATAAGAGGAGCTACAAAGTCATTATCACAAGAGACTAGCTTCAAAGTCTATCATACAACTGAAGGGAGAGAAGGTTGCCTTAAGTCAAATACGATTTCTAAGTATAGGCCAAAGTTTTCACCTAATCTCAAAAATTTATACAATCCTTAAGGTGAAGTTTCATCTGATATTCCTCATTTCTATTCCTGCCTACATACACATACCTAACTTATTCCTCAAGACCTCAGCCTCAAAGGAAAGCAAAAGATATCTATTTCTTCTCTGCACTATTTATCATCCTTTGAGGTCTTTTTTTATAATAAATTTATTTTTTATTGGTGTTCAATTTGCTAACATACAGAATAATACCCAGTGCTCATCCCGTCAAGTGCCCACCTCAGTGCCCGCCACCCAGTCACCCCCACCCCCCGCCCTCCTCCCCTACCACCACCCCTAGTTCGTTTCCCAGAGTTAGGAGTCTTCCATGTTCTGTCTCCCTTTCTGATATTTCCCACTTACTTTTTCTCCTTTCTCCTTTATTCCCTTTCACTATTATTTATATTCCCCAAATGAATGAGACCATACAATGTTTGTCCTTCTCCGTTTGACTTATTTCACTCATCCTTTGAGGTTCTTAAAGATGATGTGGATGACATGCAATCCTTATGAGGACTTATTCAGGGCGAGTCTCTCTGCCATGTCTCTTCTTTTATAGGATGTGCCTACAGATGAATGTGACTAAATGATCATCAGAGCTACATCCTGCAAAGGACTCCACAGCATTAATAGAAGGAGGACCAATGCGTAAGGAATATTGCAGGAAAAAAATAACACACTAGCCCCGAGGAGCAGGAAACTGGCGCTTACTGAAGATTATAGGCTGAGGCTAATTATATTCTAGCCTCCAGCTGCTTCACTCCCTCCACTCCCCCATTTCACTCACCATGCTTCACTGTACCTACTTAGAAAGTGCTCAGAAAGGACAGTGCCTGAATCCACGACTTTGTCCTCTACTCACACCCTAAGATGTATATAGCCTGGCTGGAATGCAGCAGGAGTTATTACAGCATCCTTACAACTAAGGTGTTGCTTTCTATTTTTTATTTATTTTTTTTGTTATTTCTACTTAAATTCTCTAAACACCTACTTGTGTAGTTTGGGACAGCAGGGGATGGTAGGGAAAAGAATCGCAGCACCAGAAAACATAGGATGGCAGAGAAGTGGCCAGGGCTGGGTAGTGCCCGGAGGCTCTTTGGAAGCAATGTGTCAAATGGAAGGAGAAAGCACGTGCTGCTCACACACAAGGTTGTCTTAAGTGCCTATTTGGTTCCCATTTATATGGCCAATTTTCACTCTGCTTGGTATCACTGATCAAGAGACTAAGCCCAAGGAGTGCATGAAAAACACAACGAAATGAAAAGTAATGCTAAATTCACCATACAGATGCCTCAGAAAAGCCAAATTCAAGAAGATATTGCATTTAATTTAGTTTGAGAAGAAACTCTACAAAGCTCCGAAAATGTGCAGAACAGGTTATCAATAGGAGGAAACACTGCCCACTCTCTTCTAAACTGTCTTCTGCTCCCAGGCACTAGATCCGGGGGGTCAAGCAGGTGTGGCAGGGCCAGTGATGTTTTTGTTTGTTTGTTTTTTAAAGATTTGAGAGAGAGAGAGAGAGAGAGAGAGAGAGAGAGAGCACAAGTGGCAGAGGCAGATGGAGAATCACTAGCAGACTCCCTGCTGGGTGAGAAGCCTGACACAGGGTTCCAACCCATGACCCTGAGATCATGACCTGAGTCAGACACTAAACAACTGTGCCAACTCAGGCGCCCCAAGGGATGGTGATGCTTTATACCTGAACGTGTAGTAACCAAACTGTAAACGCTCACAAAGGCTAGAACTGCTACCAGTGCTGTTAACTCCATGGGCGGCTTGGAGTGGCATCTGCTTGTTTTTCAATCACAACTGAACAGAATCACAAATATAAATCTCACATCGCCAGGTAAAATCACCAGAAAGGTTCCCACCCCCATCTTCTGCTCACTCAGCAAAAAAGTAAGTGGCATTCTTGGTTTTTTAATGAGCTGGCTGATGGGGCTACAGTCAGACTGTGCTTTTTGATTAATTAGCTAAGGGGAAAGTAAAATTGTAAGAAAGCAAACTACTGGCATTATCAGCACAGAAATGTGGATAATGACGATGAGGAATTACTGATTTCTTTTCAGAAAAAGATATAATGCCAGAAGAAGAGTATGCAATTTTTTTTTAAGATTTTATTTATTTATTTGAGACAGAGCAAGAGATAGAGGGAGAACACGAGTGGCGGAGGAGGGGAGCAGGAGAGAGGGAGAAGCATACTCCCCACAGAGCATGGAGCCTGACGTGGGGCTCAATACCAGGACCCGGGATGGTGACGTAAGCAGAAAGCAGATGCCTGACTGACTGAGCCATCCAGGTGCCCCAAAGGGTATGCAATCTAAGAAGGGGATTTTCATCCTGCTTGTGCTCCTTCCCCCCACTTCAACATACATACACACACGCACACACACACTCCCTCCAACTTCATACCTTCCTTGGTACACTACTTTTTAGGGCTATTTTTTACTGCTGCTCTAAAAACCTAGCTATGTGAAGTACAGGTTGTTCCTCATAGAAAATCCCTACGTTGCCTGCACAGTGGTGCCAGGGATGAAGCCATGCTACATTTGCAGGGACACCCGGGCACAGGGCAAACTTCCCCATGTATCATGGGAGTGCCTCAGCTTTGGGCAATTTCTACTGCAGTTTCTGCACCATTCTCCTATAAAACCCCTTAGCTCAGCATCCTCACACTCTAATGTAACCACAGTGTAATTCCTCGTGGCTGCTAAAGAAACGGGGCCATCTCAAATACACTATCATAGTGTGGTATCAAATTCACATTATACATAGCTTTATCTTTCCTACAACCTTTTTCCTGAAATCTCCCCAGGTACTAAAGTCTAGGCTAGGCCAGGAACCAGAGGCAGCGCTCTAGTCCCTCACATACCAGTGCAATCAACAGCTTGTGTTTAGAATAAATATTTGAAACTCAGAAGCCTGTTAACAATGCAGTGCTTGATTACTTTGAATTACTCTCACCCACAGCAATTGAGGGAGAAGTCTTTGGCACCAGCCCCATGCAAAAAAAACCTGCTTCCCAGCGTGCTCCGTTTGCCTTCCAACACTCCCCTCAAAGAAGTCTCAACACACTGTACAAAGATCTCAGTTTTCTCCCCTAAATACCACATGAATCCCACATTGAAAATTTGACTTTCTTCTTCTCAGAGCACCACAGATTGACTTCAATACTTCTAGGTTCATATATATTTAATTAGACCAACTTATCTTGTAACTCTCTTATTCAAACCCCTCTGCTAGCATCTTTCATTCAGCACTGAAATCCTTCTAAAAAGCTTTTCCATTTGCCCCTTTTGAGACAAAACGTCATCTTGGTCTATTTTAAAGCTATAGTAACAAGCTCCTTTTCAATTAGTACAAGTGCCCATGTATTAAAATGGCCACAATCCTTAGCACTTTCCTCCTTCAAAACCTATCTGGTAAAGTCTTTCTTTTCTTTTCTTTTTTCTTTTTTTTTTTTTTTTTTTTAAGAGGGCCAAAAGGGTAAACTATACTAACCAGAAGTAATTAGTATGTTAAGTTTTGTTTCAAGGCCAGGCTATCAGGTTACAAGTTCTAATAAACCCTGCTGGGGGAAGACAACCCTTTGTCTTGGGACTACTGAGAACTAACCAATCAACCAAAAAAAAAACAAAAACAAAAACAAAAACAAAAAACACCTTTAATCCCATCAGAAAGTCTCCCATCTAAACACAACTGAAAAGAAAAGCCAACACCAAAGCAAATAAAATGAATGAAGTGGACCTGCTGCTGGCAGCCCTTACCATTGGGAGCAGAGGCCCCCTCCGGACCCTCGCAGGGGCTCTGGCTCTTCCTGGGGTAGGGTAAGGGTGGCGAGGGGTCCAGGCCCTGGGTGCAGGTAGAGGTATGCTCCGTGCATGCTTGAACAGGACTCACCGCCGTCTGCCTGCCTGTCTGCCACTCCGTCCTCTCGTCTGGGTGGGAAGGGCCAAGATGGAAAAAAAAATGTGCAGGTTACTCACTGGCCTTCCCAGGCGGGCACACCCAGGAGGAGGGAGAGGCCAGGCACAGACAGGGAGATTCTTCAGAGGCTGTGCCTGAGATCTTGCTTCTGATTCCTTTTGTTAATACTTCCTGAACTTTAAACTCAATCTGCACAAGCACGGGTATTTTGGGGGAGGCAAATAACACTTGGGTAATTAGATTCCAAGAGCTTTGTGCAAAGGTTACTTTGAAAAGGCAATGCTTTAGTGCACATGCTTTTAAATTTAACCCTGAAATTTGTTTCCACTGTGGCTGAGCATTAACACTAGCATAGGAAATGAGAGCAAGGGGCAACCTCAGTGCAGATCCTGGAAAGGCCCAGAGCAGGTAATCCTGGGTATGATTTAGACAAAGAATTTCTCTTTTTTTTTTTTTTTTTTTTTGGCTCTAACTTTTAGAAAACAGGATTCTCAACAGTCTCCCAGAGTTGGTGAACCTTCTCTTGGACACAAGACACATTCTTGAAAGAGGTATCCAGAGATCACGATTTTAGAAAAAGATTCCCAATGAAGATGCAAGAACTTGTTACCTGGTAGCCTAGCCTCTGCTAAATCCTGAAATGAAGGCTTTTATAAATGGCAGGATCCTTCAGCAATGTGTCTGTATTTCAGCAGAAGGAGATGGAGAGATGGAGCCAAGGGTGAGGAGGAGGGAACTAACTCCATAGACCAGGTGCTTCTCTCATTTAATCCTGCAAATGCCTTTATGAGGGCGGTATCCTTCTTCCTCTTTCACATGTGAGCATACTGAGACTAGGGGGTTAGGTAACCTGACTAGGGCTCAGCCAGCTGGGGAGTGAAAGATCCAGGTCTGCCTGAATCTAAGACCCAGACTCATCACACCACACCACCAGGTATGTCACCCACAATTCCTGAAGAACTAGTCATCTTTTTTTCCACCTGTAGTTGACCTAAGGCTAGGTTACCTTTTCTTAAATTTTTATACCAGTTCCAATACTGATATGCCATGAAATATAATTCTGCAGGATACTAACAGGTATAACAATGGTTAAGAAGAATATTCTGTATAGGTTTCTTTTTGGTAGCTTTTCACAATCTTTAGCATACTAACATATGTTGTGAATCTCCAAGCCTAGGACTTATTGTGCCATGTCCCCTTGTGCCATGTATCCTTTCCCAAAGCCTTTTTGAATTCAGAATGGGACTGTCAGGAATTTCTTAGGAATCTGCTTTAGAAATTTTTATACATATGAAGCATACATGAACACCCTTTTAAAAATAACACATCTGGATTAAAGCATATCCATGATATGTTATTTGGTACTTAAAAAATCTTAATGTAGTTGAAACTTTCCATATCAGAATAGAGAATTGCTACTGATAAATCAGAGCCACGAAAAGTAAAAGGTAGACCTATAATAAGGAATTAGTGCTTTATAAAAGGGTCCCCTATGTGAGTCACAATCCATCAGAATGCCCAGCCTCCCCTTCTAGCTCTGTGTAGTAACCTCCACACTTGATATTCATGTTTATAATGGGAAGGATCTAAAATATCACAGGTTGTTATAAGGATCAATAACAATGATGACAATGACACTCCAGCCACCATTTATTGAGCAGCTACTCTGTGTCAGGCACTTTTCTTAATGCTTTCTGTGTATTAATTTGACTAAGCCTTGCTCCCAACGATCCTGTGAAGTAGGTATTACTCATTAGCCCACTTGGAGATTGAAAGAGCCATCTCAACCTGCATATCCTGCACATAAATTCACAACAAATGCTTGAAGTTGTATTAAGTAAACGTGATGTCAGCAACCCTGATCGTTGCCACAATGTACTTCTCAAATTGACATTATAAAGTGGATCACATTTTTCCCTTAAGAATAATGTCATTATTAGGCATTCTGTTCCAAAACCTCACCTTGGCTAAAATCTTATAAATACAGAACTACAACAAAACTACAACAAATCTTATAATCATTAAAAAAAAAAAAAAAACAACCAAAATGAGGTTCCATCGCTCAAAGATTTTGAGAGATTGGCTCCTACAACCCCTCCTTTTTACTGATCAATGAAATCAAATCGAGAAAATATGTGGGTCTTCTCTAACGGTACATACCTTGTATGATTGTCACACTGTCTCACCCATGAAATAATTTTTAAAGGTGCATACATTTCAACCCCATACGATTGCTTAAGGGACTCCAACATCTCTATATGTATACGCAAAATGTACTATATCACAAATCTGACATAATATACAAGTTAGAACAAGCACTGAACATTTAATTAGAAGTAGCTTTCCTTGCCTTAGAATTTAAAAGGTCATTTGAGGAATGGTTTGACTGACTCATTTCTCTTATAAAAACTCTCTAGGGATAATATGAATCGATACTAGCTTATTCTCTCAATATATTTTTCTGTAAAAACCATAAGTCTTCAAAATTAGTCCACTGGGCACTTTTCCCCTTAACACGGTAGCAGAAGCATCTTTATAGTTTGAGACATCATTCCAGGCCTCCTTAGCTTTGATTCAGGATGCCTATGCTTTGATGTGATCCTCCTGCCAAACTCTCTCTCTCTCTCTCTCTCTCTCTCATTTTTTCCCCCTCCTCATCTACCTTCTTAAGTAAGGAAAGCCTGGAAGGTGAGAGGGGCAGACTGAGAGAAGAAGAGAGATTCATATTTCTTTACTGTGGATTTAGCTGAGTGGACACTATGCATTTTATGCTAAGGGTTTAAAAAAAAAAAAGGCATGGACCTAACTCTCTTTTTCCTCCAGCTCTGACTCTCACACCCAGCTTAGACTATACCTCTCTGCCGAGAATACAGGAGGAGCTTATTCATTTGGGGGTATTTGTCCCCTATCCTGTTAATGTCCAATGCATTATTTCTTATTCTCAACTACATTCAGCAGTGACCATCCTTGCAGAAAGAAGTCTACAGCAGGTACAGATAGTGCAGTCCTGCTCTGACATACGCGCACATTTAAAAGACATTAAATGCTTGCTTTGGCTACTCAGCCATTAGGAGCTGGGAGGGAACAACAGTGCTCGACTGCATCCAAGACAGGGCTTGGGTCAGTCTACTTATGTTCTGATGAAGTCCTAGGTCAGAATTCCAGTTTCCTGGTCTCTTGAATGAGGAAAATATCATCTACCTCGTAAGGCTGCGATTGAAGATTAACTGTAAAACATTTTGTAAACAGCTGAGCACCACATAAATATCAGGGAGTGACCATCGCTGCATCTGGCTCTCTAAATGTGTTGGTGGTGGAGCGTGGTAATTGCTTTAAAAGTGGAACCAAGTTGTTTCTGCTGTTCATGATCCATGGCCTACTCAGCAGCTGTTTCCAAGATAGGTCCATCAGGATACTAACTAGCAGGTGAGCACAATGCTAGCAGAAAATGGACCAGCTTATTTTCAGGGGAAAACATTTTCCTCCATGCTTCCTGCTTTATCAGACCTTCTGAACTACTTACTTTTAGCATAATTATAAAACTATTTTTAAACTTTTTATTATAAAAAATTTGAAACATAGATAAAAGTGGAGACAAAGGTGAAACAAACCTCCACATCACCAGCTTCGACAATTACCAAGTCATTCAAATCTTGTTTCACCTATTTCTTTACCTGCTCTGGATTATCTTGAGGCAAATTCCCAGGATCATATCATTTTATCTATAAACGTTTTTGCATCTATCTCTAAAAGGTAAGGATTCTGTGTGTAAACATAACCAAAATATTATGACATCCAAAAGGGAACTATAATTACTTAATATCCAATATCCTGTCAGTATTTAAATTTCTCCAAATCTGTTAAAGATTGTTTTTTTTTTTTTTGGTACTTTGTTCAAACAATTAGGCAACTGATTTATAAGTATTGTCCTTTTTCATCTAAAGCTTCTTTTTCCACCTTTATATTTTTCCTTGCAATTTATTGGATAAAATTCTTTTATCATACAGATTGTCCCACAATCACATTTTGATTTGGTGTGATTTAATATGTTCCTCTGCCCCTATATTTCCTGTGAATTCACAATTAGATCTAGGGACTTGATCAAATTCATTATTTGATTTTTAGATAGAATAGTTGATAGGCGTTCTTATGTACTTCCATCAGGAAGTAACTCATATTTGATAACCTCTGGTTTCGGGCACTTAGCAGCTGTTGAGAATCAGTGTCTAGATATTATTTCATGGGGACTAGAAAACGATGATTTTCTCCCATTATTTCCCCACTGATTAATTAGGATGCTATTATTATTATTATTAAAAGTTTATATTGATAGAAATGAAAGCATGTACTTCCTACTTCTATTTTTGTCCATAAAGTGTGGGACAATGTATCAGTTCCTTTCTATTCTACATATCTCATTAATCTTGAAAAGATAATTTTAAAGTTTAATTTTTTTAAAAAATGGCCCAATTAGATTTCTGGGGGAAACAACTGGGAAACAGTATTCAGAAACCTTCAAAGGGTAGAGAAGAAAAAAAAAAGGGTAGAGAAGGACTGGTTCACAGTACATCATTCAGATTCAAATGTGATTCTTTCAATTGTGAGCTCTAGGATTCTGCTCAAGGATTTTGGCATTCTTACCCTCAATATTCTCATCTATAAAGTAGGGATAGCAACTCCTACCTTATGACTTCTGTGAGGATGCATGATAAAGTATGCAAAGAGCCTGTTCCAGTGTCTGAAAAATAGTAGATGCTCAAGAAATTAGAGTTACTACTAGCTGCACTATTGTCTCCATAATTAGCACAGTGCCTGGCAAACAGCAGTAGCTCAATAAATGCGGAGTGAATAAATACAGTCTTGATTGACTTTACTGTGTCCCCAGCTGATGATGCTTCAATATTTCAAGATGCTGGGGATGCAAAAAGTTCTCTCATGAATTTATGCAGGAATGGAAAAGGGAATTATTTGCTCCCAGGGTAATTATTCCATTTGGCTCTTTTAAAAATAA